GAAGTTTACAAAAGTTTTTATTAAATGATTTATCATGGTTATAAGTGGGTTAAAGGGATTTACAAGTGTTTATAAATGTTATAAAATGATTTACAATGGTTTGCAAAGGTTTACTCAAGTTTTGAAAGGTTTTGGATGACTTTTAAAAGATTTACAAGAGTTTTTAATGGATTTTTTAAGGGATTTATAAATATTTACAAGGTTTTTTAAAGAAATTGCGGAAAAATTTTAGCTGAAAATTTTTGGCGGGAAAATTTTTGTCGGAATTTTTTTGGCGGGAAATTTTTTTGGCGGGAAAATTTTTGCCGAAAATTTTTGGCGGGAAAATTTGGCGGGAAATTTTTCGGAAGGAATATTCTTTTTGTTGGAAAGAATATTCCTTTTTCATCATGGGTTATAATAAAGGAGGGTAATTTAGTCATTTTGTACATTGAAGAGGGTATTTTTGAAAATGAACACCTAGAGAGGGTATTTGTAAAAAAGGGTATCATAATAAAGGTTAGTTGTGCAAATCTCCCTTTTCTTTTTGAATAATCAAAGAGTTCTGGACCGAAATCCATATATAATTTCAGACCCAAAACCAAAACATGTTATATGGTTTCGGCCTAGACATTACTTGAACTGGCGACCTATCAATTTTTGCTAAAGATCTTTACCAATTGAGCTATTAGCACTTGGTCAAAACTTTTCTTTTATAATCATATAGTATTAAAAGTTAAATTGTTTTCAATATATTTTGCTACAAAATATATTATATTTTTATGAACTTCTTATGCATCCATAACACTTCATTTAAAATCAAATACTCACTTAAAAAAAAAAAAAAAAACAAGTCAGGTACAAATTCACAATCGTCACACGTAACTGAGAAAATATATGGACCAGTAAGTAAACTATTCAAGTGAACCAATAATGCAGTATTTTATAGTATTAATTCATAGAAAAATACAAAACGTGTTTTTCATCGAAACTTTCAACGTTATCTTTCTTCTATTTTATTCAGAAATATAAATAATTGGTATTTTAATTTGTTGATGTCAATATTTAACCATTATATCTCTTATACGTTAATTATAATATAAAATTAATTTCAGTTTATTAAGGGTGAAAATGGTTGTACAACTTGAGATGAAAAATTTGTCAAAAAAAAAAGTTATTCACCTGATTTTTACTATTTGACTTAAAGAAATTGAAATTTTTTGATTCAACTTATTTAACCCAAAAAATTGAAGTAATTAAAAAATAAGAAGAGAAAATTGTTCAACTCAGTCAACCACAATGTAATATATGAATAATATTTAACACGTTTTAATTTTTAACTCAAGTTTTCAAACCCTTCAACTAGAAGCATCCATTTGCACCTAACTAAAAGTTTTTATATTACTTATTTTAAAAGTTTTTTTCTGATTACATAAACTAATTTAAACACTGGTAGCGAGAAATTTTTTGGAAGGATGTTTATAGCGAGAAATTTTTGGAAGGATGTTTATAGAAGAAAATTTTAGGAGGGAATTTTTTTAGCGGAAAATGTTTTTTTGGCGGGAAATTTACGGAAACTTTTTTTGGCGGGAATTTTTTTTTGCGGAAACATTTTTGCTGGAAACACTTACGTTTATATTGTTCTAATAGTAAACCTTTTGAAAAACTTCTCCATAATAATTTATAACAAAATAAAAACATAAAACTTTATATAAAAACAAATTAATAAAAACTAGAACAATATTTTTGCAACATAGTGCGGGTATTTACGTAGTAAATCTCAAATATGAAATATACAAAATGGTTAAAAATCAACATAAATGGATATTATTGTCCAGCACGTTTTAAATGGACATACATAAATGGACTACAAACTTAAATGGACATAAATGGACACGGACGTAAACGGACGGACATAAACAAACACTGACGTAAACTTAGAACTTCTAAGTTTGAAAGAAAAACTTAAATTAGTCCTATTTTGAGAATCATAATTACTAGAGTTTAATTAAAACGTTCAGTAGATCTTTCAGTAAGGTTGATTTTAAATTTTTCTATATATTTTGCTACAAGATGTATTAAATTTTTATGAAGTTCTAGGTAATTACATTTCATTTAGAAATCAAATACGCGTTTAATATGAAGTTTAATATGAGTTAGGTAATTACATTTCGTTTAGTTTTTACATCAGGTCATATAATATACTGTAGGTAGTTTGATATATTAAACTTCCTACTTTACATTGATGTAGATACACATTTAACACAATTATTGATGTGGAAACCATTTGACATCATTTAATTGACCAAAATCCGAATACTGTACTTCACAATTATTGAAGTTTCCAATGCTCACCACCAAAAATCCGAAATTGACCAAAATCCGAATACACACTTCTAAATCTACGAAATTAAAAATATCCAAGTGTTCAAATCCTTTATTTAACTTTAAGCAAATCTTGATAATCTTTGGATATATATATGAAGCTTACAATAGAACGTGTACTTAGATTTAGGCTTATTTCATATAAGATAGACTAAACATCTCCAAGTCAACTAGTGGGAGTAGCATGAGAGATGTTGAGATTGATGCCATTGGGAAAAGAAACTAGAGGTGTACGAGTGATCTCGCAGTCTTGTTCCATAGAGAATTCGTAGTTGGTAACAAGATGGTGAATGAATATTGCAATCTGAAGTCTTGCAAATTCTGCACCAGGACACAATCTCAACCCACCTCCAAATACCATGAACGTCCTAGAACCATGAACCAGCTCTTTGCCCTGTTTCACATTCATACAAATTTTACATTCTTTGGATGATAATTAAATTAGATATCGAAAATGCTTTACATAGACTAGAATCAGAATATACCTCCCATCGCCACGGATTAAACTCGTAAGGGTTCTCATATATCGCAGGATCATAATGTATCAATGAACTTGCAACTACAACCATCCAGCCCTTTGGAATCGTATATCCTGTTACCAGTTTCCGCACAACATATTGTTTTATATAGAAAAAAGTTGACAATATGTTTCAAAAAGTGGAAGCATTTTAATTAGTAGTAATTACCTTTAATTTCAACATCTTTCAAAGCCTTTCTAAACAATACTGGAGTCACATTTGCAAGTCTAAGAGTCTCATTAATCACCTGCATCGCAACACATGCTTGGTTTATAATCTTCCTTATACTATAATTCAAATTACTAAAAGACATATAGAAGTTACCATGTTGGTGAAAGTCATGTTGTTTTTGTACTCTTCCCAACTCACTCCAGAGTTCTTATCCACTCTATTTTGAAGGATAGCATCATGCTCTTTCTGCCATACAATAAACCATATAATGTCAAATTCATTTGTCCTCTTTTAGCAAGTGTTGTTAGCCTATGTATCGATATAAATTACCTTCAACTCTAAAAAGACTTTATGGTTATTAGTAATGTATTTTACTGCCATGGAACCAATTGTAGAGGTAGTATCTTTAGCGGCCACCGGAATAGCAAAGACGTTGTCCACAACGGCTTGGTCATCGAATATGACATCTTTTCGCATCGTGTTAAGGATGTCTTCATGCTTCTCTTCCGATTCTTTCCTTGATAAGAGAACATCGCGTATCACATTCATCGCAGATTTGCGTGCCTGGATGCAATTGATTGAAACAACTTTTAGACTTTCTAGTGTACAAAATCTAATAGACAAAACATTTGACAAAGATAAATTTCAAAAACAAAGATAAAAGTACTTACCATAATAGCTATATAAAACGATTTCCAGGTAGAGAAACTAAAAGATGACTTATACCAATCAAGATTGAAGGCCATGAAGATGTCCATAAGATTCTCTTCAGCCTCTGATTTGAGGTTACTTATCAACTTGGGTGTCAAGTGCTTAATTATCAGCTACAAAAGTAATCAAACAAAATTATCCTTAAACTCAAATTAAATTTTAATTCATCAACAAAAATCAAATTAAAATAAATAATACTCTTTCCGGTCTAGAATTCATGATTTTCTAAATAAATGCACACAAATTAATAAATCATTAGATTTTTGCTTAATTTTATATAAAAACTTCATTTAATGCATATATAAACAGAATTCAACCAACGAAAAATATTCTGTATAATATAAATTGTTAAAACCAATAAAATTCGAAATAAATTTGCATAGACTCGCAAAAAAATTCATCTATTTTTGGAAAAAATAAGGCTAAAAGATCAGAGGGAGAATGTACATACGTTTGAAACTGTCTCCTTAATATCCAAACTCCCCAAGGTAGCCTTTGATTTAAGATCCTCGCCGGTAGCTCGGTCCATGTCTTTTATCAACTTCCACTTCAAACCTTCAGTGCCAAGAAAGTTCAGAGTGATTTGTTTGACATGCTTGTGTGTCTTCCCATGGTCAACCAATTCTTTATCTTTCCCAAACACTTTAAAAAACCCATCTGGAAGACTAAACATGAAAGCCTTGTTCTCTTGCTTTAAAATCTCATACATAACATCATGGTCCGTGACTACCACGGTGTTGGAACCAAATATGTTGGTCTTAAATAGTGACCCGTACCTAAAACGTTCGCAAGATGATTTAAAACGTTTGCAAATTATATATTGTTCAAAAAGTTTAGTTTGAGCATCTAACCTGGACATCCTCTTTTCGAGAAACGGCGAGGTCTCATAGAATCCATGAGACTTAAAGAAGGCTAGTGTCTCTCCGATGATCGGAAACCCCATTGATCCCGGAGGTAACTTGCCATTGCACTTTGGGTTTGACCATCGGTACCACCATCTAGTGATCAGTACAACAACAAAAGCTGAAACACAAATAGAAATGTTCCAAATGATGTTCATTTTACTCTGTCTTTCAAGTTTGAAGAGTCACCAGTTCGGATCTTTAGATGTCTCCTATATAGAGAAGAAGGATAATAGCTACAATTTTGTTCAGCAGATTTACATATTTTTTTAGTGTTTTTTTTATATGGTCACGTTCTATTGGTTTATTTAATTATTAGATGTTGTTCTTTGGCGTGTAACGTACAATTTTATATTATAGACTAATGGTAATTACTGTAAAAGTTTCTTAAGATAATATTATTATCTGTCTAATAACAATTATTATAAACGATTAGGAACTTAATAGTGTAATTTTGGAAAAATGTCCTGTTTTCAAAACTCTTCGCACGGTCCACTCAAACTTTGTTTTCTTACATGAGAATTGCGTCAATCATTTAGCAGCCATACCTAAAAATCCCTCCACAAATTTCCTGTGGTACCCAATGAGTCCAAAAAATATTTTAAAGTATATACAATTGTATATCAGATTATGGATATTCATTCAGTTCTTGTTTCGTTTCCATAGGATTCAGTTTCCAATACTTTTGGTTCTTGAGATCCATTCGGTTTTTTAATTTCGGTTTATGTTCAGTTTTATTTGGTTCAGTTTCGGTTTGGCGCATTCGATTCAATTTTTTCGCCTAAGACTAATTTTTAACCATGAGAGTAGTTGTTTTTTTAAAGTCATTTTGTGCTCTTAGGGTATTTTTAAGTCTTTGTAGTACTAGGAGCTACTTGGCACGGACTGGAGCATAATAGAGCTTCTTGGAGCATTGGAGTTAAGCAAGCAGACTTGGAGACGATTTCCAGAGGTAGTGTCGATAGACATCGGTCACAAACCTTACAATCCAACTCGAGTTTTTCAATTTTTGAATATTTAAAAGGAGGCCTGAGGTTTTTCCTAATTCCAATATTGATCCTTGACGTGTATTAGACATATTTAAGCACTTCTTAAGGTTATAGAAAACAGTTATGCTTTTTTTTTTTTGAATGCAATGTTAAATTATATTCAAAAGAAAAAATAAACGTTTTTACATCAAGTGCATCGTTTTTGGACTAAAACTTCGAAAAGATTAAGAAATAGACGACAAAATTATGTTCTAGTTTGAAGCCACACTTGGAAACCCGCTGCATACCGGAGATCCCCATTTTCCGAATTGACGAAAGTTGATCTCGAACTTGTTTATCGATCCTTTTCGTGAGTTGAGGTGGTGGTATTGGTGCGTTTCCGTGTCTCCTACAATTCCGCTCTCTCCAAATTCCATAGACAACAGCTTGAAAAACATACCGTAGCAGGAAAGTATGAACTCGATCTTGTTGAGGTGTAGAGATTTATGCGAGGAGTCTTGTCCAATCTGTTGTATAATGCGAAAGGAGGAGTCCCTTAGCAGTAACAATTATGCTTTATTCTATTGCAAACTTGTAACAACCCGCCCCGTGGGACCACAGCCACATCATAGGTTTTAGTGTTTTTTGGTTGGCCCCTTGCGGATTTGATTTGGATCTCACAATAATAATAATCTAAATTACAAAGGATTTGGTGAGGAAAATATTTGTTGGCCTTTTTATTATTCTCTTAGGACATGATAGTATATGTTTGGAATGAAAAGAATTATTAACTCCATCTAGAAAACGCTAAGGTTTGTAGATTTTTAGATTTTCTTTCTATTTTTATTTTATATTTTACAAAAATAATTTTGAGTTAAAATTAAAAAAAGTTATATTCAAAAATATCCATCTATATTTTTGAGTTTAAATTAAAAAAATACAAATAAAATTATAAAAATATTACCGCATCATTTAAAATTAATAATTCCTATAGATGAAAGGGTAAACTTAGAATTTTATTTTTATTTTGAAGTCGTTAATTGGAATATATATATATATATATATATATATGTTAATTAGTATACGTATTTTATTCTAACGAAAAAGTTAAGGTATTAAACTTCTAAAAAATCCAGGGATTTTTGGGGGTTCCCTTAAAACCGCCTTCAAATTTGGTTATCTGGTAATACTTAATGTTATACATGACTTATGTAAGTATCCAGCACTTATACATTCAAACTTCATGTTGCAACATCCATATTGCTTAGATATTGTTTTGATTTGAATAAGTTCATTTTTTTCTTTCTTGAAGTTTTCAATTAAGCGAATAATATTTACATAGTAGTGTATGTAAATAAGTACAAGTAAATTAGTAGTACATAAAAAATGTATTTATTTTGGTAGTTTTATTTTGGTAAAAAAAGAGATTTAAAGAAAAAATTAGATATCTTATTATACAAAACTTGGTTTTCAAAGATAGAAACTTATGTAATCGTGACACTTATCAAGTATCTCGATAAAGTTTTGACACGTGTAAAAGTAACCTATACAAAAATATAGAGAGACTAAATTAATTTATTATCTTATAGAAATATAAGAATCAAATTAATATATTAAGTTACTAATACTAATAAGAAAATAATTAAAATTATAACTGTAAAAAATCATTAAAAATAAAATTATTCAGAAAAATAATTGTTGTTAAAGCATATAATTCGATAATTTGAATTTATTTTCAAAACATTTAAAATGGTCTTTTGAATGGTTTTTAATTTGAATTTATTTTCAATATTGTTAAAGACTTTTAAAGGATTTACAAGGGTTTTTAAAGGGATTTACAAGAGTTTTTAAAGTGATTAACAAAAGTTTTTAAATGGTTTTTAAAAGATGTTTAATGGTTTTAAAGGGTTTTAGAAGCTTACAAAGGGTTTTTGAATGGTTTTTAAAGGATTTACAATGGTTTTTGAAAGTTTTTATAAGTTTATAACAATTTTTAAAGGATTTACAAGGATTTGTAAAAGATTTTCAAATGGTTTTCAAAAATTTACAAGGATTTTTAAAGGGTTTTTAAAAGGATTTACAAGTGTTTTAAAAGCAATTACAAGGGTTTTAAAATGGTTTTAAAAAGATTTACAAGGATTTTTAAAGATATTTACAAAGATTTAAAAATAGTTTTAAAGGATTTACAAGGGGGTTTAAAGGATTTTAGAAGTTTACAGAGGTTTTTAAGGGGTTTACAAAGGTTCTTAAATGCATTACAAGGACTTTAAAATAGTTTTTAAGGATTTACAAGGGGTTTTAAAGGGTTTTATAAGTTTACAAAAGTTTTTATTAATTGATTAACCATGGTTATAAGGGGTTTAAAGATATTTACATGTGTTTATAAATGTTATAAAATGATTGACAAAGGTTTACTAAAGTTTTAAAAGGTTTTGGATGACTTTTAAAAGATTTACAAGGGTTTTTAAGGAACTGCGGAAAAGGTATGGCGGGAAAGTTTTTGTCGGAATTTTTTCGGCGGAAATTATTTTTAGCGGGAAAATTTTTGGCGGGAAAATTTTTGGCGGGAAATGTTTTGGAAAAAATATTCTTTTCTTTATCATGGGTTATACTAAAGGAGAGTAATTTAGTCATTTTGTACATTAAGAAGGTATTTTTGAAACTGGACACCTAGAGAAGGTATTTGTAGAAAAGTGTATCATTAAAAGGTTATTTGTGCAAATCCCCCTATAATCATCTTATATATATATATATATATATATTTATATAAAGAAAAATAGTATTTTTTAAAAAAGGAATAGAGAAAATGTATTTTTACAAATCTCCTAAAATTAGTGACATAGAGCACCAAGGGATAATTAAGTTTGAGTTATACAATTATTGTTAAATTTTGTTTGTAATTAAAAGTTTGTATCCCTTGTTTAGCAAAGTAACGTGAGAAGCTCATCAAAGTAAGAACATGGCCTATTGCTGAATAAGGTACTTTTAAAATGTTACTATAATTTTGATTCCTTGTTTTGTAAGGTAATGTGAGAAGCTCATTAAATGAACTAATATGGCCTATTAGTATACTGAACAAGGTATTAAAAAATGGTAATGTAACAAAGCGACATACTATAAAATTATAATTTTTTTTGGGAATCCCAAGTTTGACTTGTAGTATTACATGCAAGAGAAATGTGTTATATATAAGTGGTGGGATAATCAAGATCTTGTACCAATAATTTAGGTAAAATCCAGATATCATGACATAATCAAGATCATGACAGTTCAATTTTTCTTTTTAATTGGGATACTACAAATCAAAATATTATCATATCGTACTAATTTCAAAATATCAATTTTTATATTTTTTTTTAATTCTACTATATTAATCGAGAAGTACATAAATAAAAGTAATCTTAAAATTGTAAGAATTATATTGAAATGCTATTAGAAAAGATTAATAATGAAAAAACATTAAGAGTAATAAAAATAAATAAAAAATAATCAAACAAATTAAATATATAAAATCGTAAGATAATTTATAAACTATAAAATAAAATCGAAAAAAATTCAAACATATATTGTTTGTTTCGATATACAAAGACATATAGGAAACTAGTTTAGTACCCGTCCGATTGACGGGTTATCTTTATTTAAAATTAAATTAAAATTAAAATTTATTATAACTTATAAAAAAAATAATTTCCAAATTTTTTTTAAAAAAAATAAGAGAAATTAGTTTCATTTAGAAAGAGATTTATTTGGTTTGAAGTATCTAGAAATTTCATTTAAAAATTTCATATATATATCTCTTAAAATTCGTTATTAAATTTTAATTATAAAAATCTAACAATGTCAAATTGACAATCACCAAAACATTTGGGAGCTACAGTAAAACCTCTATAAATTAATAATATTGGGACTATGAAAATCTATTAATTTATAGAGGTTTTAATTTATCGATAAATTAATTATTATTAATTTCTAGAGAGATTTTCCTAATTTGGAAAGTTTTTTCAAAACAAAATTAAAATAAAATCTAACAAAACCTAAAGTGTCTATATATACATATATTTTGAAATTTTTACCTAATTATTAATTTATATTATTGATGGGACTATATATTTACAAAGGATTTTCAAAAAAATTATTATCCTATTATTTTATCAAAATGTGATTAAAAATTATACTGGTCCGAGTTGGGACCATAGAAATTTATTAATTTATAGAGAATATTAATTTATCGAGTATTAATTTATAGAGGTTATATTTGGGAGCTATT